ATCTATCTATCTATCTATCTATCTATCCATTCATCATTGTGTATATTTGTTTAGCTGGCTGTTTTTGTTTATTAGAGCATATGTTATGCCCCTCATTTATGGCATAAATCTGATAATGGAGCTGCTTTTGACATCTTTTGGAGATTTTTTCGTCTCTATTCTTATCCTCTTTCGCCTACGCGTCCACCCCTCTGTCGAGCCAAGTTGCTCTTGCTCTTTCTCCATCTCTCTCTCTCTCTCTCCCTATTGGAATGCTTAAAGGGCCTGTGTGATGTATTCAATTGAGGCCTGTATGAAAGGAGCTCAATCAGACTCGGATAGTGCTCCTCTTGCATGGTCTCGCCAGCTCAGATTATCATCGCGACCAAAGGATACTCTTGACCCTCCGAGGTGGCGGGGTCTGAGGCCATCATCGTTGTCTCTTATTGGCCAGTTCGACTGTCTGACTGGCTGGTTGGCTGGCCGGTGGCCGGAGGGAAGAGGCCAGACGAATGCGTCAGTGGTTCGGCCAGTGATGGTGTTGGTGTTGTTGATGCTAGGGGGTGTATGGCAGTGCTGGTGGTTGTGGTGGTTGTGGTGGTAAAACGACACACAGACACCGTTTAACGCGGTCACCGGTCGCCGGTCGCCGGTCGCCGGTCGCCGGTCGCCGGTCGGTGGGGCCGAGTCGATCGGATCCGAACAGCCTCGCCACCAAACACGGCGCGTGTGGCTTACTTTCGGCTAAATCAGGTCGTCTTCTAATCACGGGTCAGCAAGTCAACTGGGCCCAGTTATCACACTCATACCCACACTCACACCCACACCCACACTCACACGCAGTCACAGTCATGCCTCTTTCTAGACCGACTCGGTCCAAATCGACACATGGCCTCTTGTTGCCCCAACCCACAGCTCCCATCCCTCAAAAGGTCTCCCATAAACAGATTTACTCAAGCCTATCCCTTCACCCCTTCAAGCAGCCAACTCGGATAAGCTGGCCAATACTGAAACACACTCATCTCGAGGTCGAGTTTTG